AAGAGCATGTACAAACAATTTCAAAACCGGGCAAGCTATTGACAAACACCCTGATTAAGAAGAAAATCAAAAATCTCGCTTAGAGTCATTTTTGAAAATTTTCTATGGCCTATATAATGACCATCTTTAGAAAATACATCTATCAATTAGTAAAACATTTTATAAACCAATAGTATGACCAATTTCACACTGATTTGTCTCGGAATTTAGGTTTTGCCCGATTATCACAACGAGCATACGGCTGATGTGACCGGTTGACAGGAATTGGTTACACTCCATGTCACCTAATCTCTCCTCTGTTGTATGTTTATGAGAGTGAGGTTGGGTGGGGATGGGGGTGCTCTGCTCTCGGTTTGTGCTGTTAAAATAGATTCTGTTCGCTATATACCCATATTTCATTATAACAAAATTAAATGAGTATACATATAATTACGGTATGTTCATTTTTTGTCACCTCAATGTCAGTTTCGAGTACCTACTTTAGTGTTGTGAAGCTTCATTTTAAAGTTCTGAAAATAATAGTACTCCTTGTATGTTGGTTTTCCTGGATCTGGTTTTTCCTCGACAAGTTCACCATAGGCTTTCTCTGCATTGTATCCGAATGAGTTAAAGGTTTGGTCTGGGTTTAACAGAACAACTGTAGGGGCTTTTGGAGACACTAATTTACTTCCCCTCCATATATTTGTATGTACCTTTTCCCATTCAGCTGTTGAAGAGAAGGCATACCCTGAGTATGTTGTTCCAAAGTCAATAGCTGCAACGAACAAGTGCGGGGGTTTTGACATGGAGCTTATCTTTTGATACGAGGAAGAAGCCATGTTATGACACCTGAAAAATTAAATAAAGTTCAATCTACTTTCGTTTTAATTTGTAGGTAATTTTAAGTATCTAATAATCAATTAATTTACATTTAAATGTTTAGTATGTCAAAAGAAAAAAGTTTACAATTGTAAAATTAATAATGGAGTTTAGATTCTAACAATAAAACATTGTTATCTTTAACTTATCATCATTCATCAATATATGTTTATACCTAAATGTCTCCATTAACTAAATAAGTGTAATACTGACATTCCATTACTGTAGTGTATAAGAATAAAATGAATTCATGAATTAACTACATGACCTACCTTTTTCAAAAAGAAAATTATATCCTTTGATTTTTCACTGTTGGTAGTCAACTTTCCGTCCGTGATTAAAGAACGACAACTCGTCTAGAATGCAGTCAAATATCAAATTGGTCTTTATAATCAAATGATTTTTATTGTACATTCAAAATTTCTGAAAATTATTTTATTGCAGCTAAAAATTCTTCGAATGAAGTCCATTCCAAATGCATGCACTGACGTGCATGCTCGATAATTATGATATTAAATAGGTACAGCGTTTATGCTACTTTTACGTTCTTATGAAAAGATATATCCTAATCAAATATAAAGATATGGAACATATATAAATTATGTATTTGTGTACAGTGTATATGAGTTGCATGTGAAAAATTATGATTTTAACTTACATTTTATGAACAAGTAGCTTCAGTAAAATATGCTGTTAATCTGGATATTGTGGTTAATTTTCGTCATTAGAATTGAATTTGCAAAATAAATACACGTATTGTTTATAAGAAAAATTGTGAATTTTAAACACGACACGTCTAAACTTAAATTTTCAGTTTAGATTGAGCACTATGAAATCTACAAGTGTGTAAATTTTGTATCAATTGTTGATAGCTTCCAGATTTGGGAAACCATGCATACTTTTAATCATTAAAATAAAAATATATAAAAGATTTTTAAATGACTCCATCTATTCTTCACATCTTCATAATTATCTCCTCTTTTGAAAGGTGTGGACAATCCTTAGAACGCCTGAACCTGAATGCCTTTTATCCTACGATACTCTAGTTTGGTTGACTTAGCCCAGTGTTTCTAGTTAGAAAGATGTAATTGTTAGAGGTAAACAACAGAAACAACAACGACAGATTAAGGAAAAAATTAATTAAGTTCAGTAAATCCAACTAGTGTCTTCGACTCAGATAAACTAAAATGAAGTGCAAATTAATTGTGAACCCCAAAACTCTTTTTAAAAATGAGATAATTTCTAACCATAAAATATCAATGACATTAAAACTTATGGCTTTTCTACACTTTAAACGTTAACTGTTCCTAAAGATAACATAACTACTAGTTTTGTATGTCATGATAGACAATTTCTTGAATAAAAATGAAACTCGGATTTTTCCAATTCTTTCAATCTGTTCAAATATCATTGACACACAAGCAATCTAAAAGTTCTATGTAATAGGTTTTTATTAACAATACTTTTAGTAGTCTTGAGATTAGAAATTTCACCGTTGAACTCTTATAAAACATACTTCTCGCATATACTGCTATATGAAGAAATCGTATGTCAGGGCCTTCATTTAAACTTTTGGACATATTCACAATCTTTATATTAATTTTATTGATATTTTGACGAAATATATCCCAAGGAACTCGAACTATAAAGACACCACAGTCTGCCATTGTTTAATGTCTAAATGCTTTACTGACCATAGTGTTAATGACTAACAACTCAATTCTATTACAAACTTGGTCAATTCATGCCGCTATTACTCTGTCAATTTCCCTTTTTAAGCAGGTTTATCCAGCATATGGTTGTAATGTCACCTAACTGAATTCGTACGCAAGAGCATGATTCATGAAGGGTCACATTCCAAATCTGCATCTCACAAATAACTTTGGAATAATTACCTCGAAAAAATGTCAATACAACTTATTGCTGGGTCGTATTTTGATATGTTTAAGCTTTATTATTCAGTTACATGTTTTATATTTAGTTATTTAAACATTGTATTGCTCATATTAGCTAATTATTAATTATAAGCCGCGTGGGCTTAGAGTGTGTTTGTCCATCCCAAAGAATTATCCAAAAATATAACAATAACTGTTATTGAACATAATTTTAATATAACTTGAATAGTGTTCTGTGGTATTGAATTGGTTATCCACGTTTGTTATTTCTCTTGACTCCTTTCCTTCCATCAACTATTTTTCGCCATTACGAGAAGCAGATTCTGCAACAAAAAAAAATCAAGAAAGCTTGTATTAACCTCATCGTCTTTTATTTTGCATAAATCCACATAATATAGTCTTTTAAAACGATTTGTGTATTGTTATAATGGTTAAAGGAAATCCACTGTCCCTTACACAACTCTAAAAATTGAAAATTGACTGAAACATACAACTATTACAAATACAGAAACATATAATGTTCTACATCTTAAAATACAGAAACATCTTTAAACAATTAAAAAAGCAAAATTAAAGAAAAAAAAGAAACTTACGGGATTGAACCCGCTTTTATCCACATTAATGTACTAAAAACGGACCGACTTTAACTTCTATTGGAACGGAAGAACTTCTGAAAAGTTAAAGACATGAACCTTTGTTATAAATGTAAAATTTCCATACAGAGTGAAGATGGATTATTTGCAAAGTATTACTGTGAAGCACGTACTAAAACATTCCCTCTGCTAATAAAATAATCCTGATTATTAATATAAGCATATTTCTTTTTTATAGTTTACTTTTTTCTGAAACTCAAAATTTGAGATAAATAAATCATATCTAACAAACATGTACCTTATTGATCTAATACTAACCTTCTTCTATAAATTGGGAATGCTCTGTCTGTTGCACGGAGCATTATAACATAGGTTTCACCTCTAGATATACTACTGATGCACACAACTGCAATTTTCTCATCTTGTTCGGTTAGAACTAAGTTAAACTTTTCGGCTCCGTTGTTTGAAACACTTTGGATGTCAAATACTATTTCACCATTCCTCCCCCTGTCTTCATCTGAGGCTAAAATCTGTAATGTAGTTGTATTGTTTATTAAACTTGAAATTTGTGATTTTAATTCTTAGGGAAGACGAATTCTTCAGATCTCGGAAGACGGACAAGATTCAATGCATATTAACCATTCAGCCATAGCTTAATATTCAACATCTTCGCCAGCCTCTTTCAAGAGGAGAGGAACGGGTCGTCATCCTTGGCTAACGAAGATGAATATTCAATTCTTTATTTCCCTATGCCATATAGTACATCAACAGTATTCTTTTTCATTAAAGTCTATATAATTTTTTGAAAGTGATAGAACATCAAAAAGTTTTTTTTATCTTTTCTTTCTTCTTTTGACCAAAAAAAATGAAATAAAAAAAAAACAAGAAGCCCAGGGGCCACACCGCTGACCTGAGCACATTGGTTAGGAAAAAGTAGAAAATGGCTTTTTATTGTTTAAATCCAAAAGTAGTCCCATGACCAATCATGGATTTACCATTTTTTAGAAAATGATTTTTAAAGAATTTTCCTATATTTATCTTTAAAAAATTTGATCGGCCATTTTTGGCCCCGTTCTACCCCTGGGGGGTCATGATTTGAACAAACTTGAATCTACACTACTTGAGCATGCTTCCACATAAATATAATGAATTATGGCTTTGTCATTCTTGGGAAGAAGGTTTTTAAAGAATTTTCCTATATATTTCTATGTAAAACTTTGGTCGGCCATTTTGGCCCCACCCTACCCCCGGGGATCATGATTTGAACAAACTTGAATCTACACTACCTGAGCATGCTTCCATATAAATATGATGAATTGTAGCTTTGTCATTCTTAGGAAGAAGATTTTTAAAGAATTTTCCTATATATTTCTATGTAAAACTTTGGTCGGCCATTTTGGCCCCGCCCTACCCCCGGGGGTCATGATTTGAACAAACTTGAATCTACACTACCTGAGCATGCTTCCATATAAATATGATGAATTATGGCTTTGTCATTCTTGAGAAGATTGTTAAAGAATTTTCCTGTATATTTCTATGTAAAAGTTTGGTCGGGCATTTTGGCCCCGCCCTACCCCCGGGGGTCATGATTTGAACAAACTTGAATCTATTCTACCTGAGGATGTTTCTCAATAAGTTTCATCTTTTCTGGCACAGTGGTTCTTGAGAAGATTTTTAAAATATGCCACCAAATTTTCATTAATTCCCAATTATCTCCCCTTGAATGAGGGCGTGGCCCTTCATTTGAACAAACTTGAATCCCCTTCATCGAAGAATACTTTGTGGCAAGTTTGGTTGAAATTGACCCAGCGGTTCTTGAGAAGAAGTCGAAAATATGAAAAGTTTACAGGTAGACAGACAGACGGACGCCGATCAAAATGTGATCAGAAAAGCTCACTTGAGCTTTCAGCTCAGTTGAGCTAAAAACCTTAATTTCATTATGAAATAATTTATTGATTGTTAATGTTTAGAAGGTAATAACGAAAATTCTATGTTCTTTATCTTGTCAAAAGGACAACCGATAATACTTCGATTAACAGTGTCAACTTTACGTAAGAATATGTCAAATTTTTTTAAACTTTATTTTTCAAGAAAATTTCTTGCATGCCTCTTATATATAATTTCAATATAGCTGTAGTTCCCTTCCTAAAGTGCGTGAATAGTGTTGGACGGCGACGCAATGATTCCAACGATATTTAAAGCAACTTTCTTTACTTGTCTAGATAGCAGATTGGTACTGCTAGAAAACCCATTCCGTGGGTCGAGAATTTAACCTCGGCTTTAGGCAGAAGTAACCATTCTTTACAAATTAATTATTCTGTACTTTTAATATTACTTTTTCTTCACTTTGGACAGGCTATGTTAGTAAAACAAAAAGAAAGAAAGATAGATAGAGAAAAAGTGAAAACCAAACAATGGACTCTTATACTATTAACATACTGGTACCTGTACAAGAAATTGGTTGTTTTTCGTGTAGTTTCCTTCCAATATATTCACAAAATATAACGGTGCTGTGAATATTGGGGGATAGATATTAAATTCACAGCTGTCGTTTGAATAAGGTGAAAATTGAATTTGTACTGTTAATGTGGCTTGTCCTTGCAATGGCGGAGTTCCTTGATCCGTTGCTATGATTTGTATCTATGCAATACAAAATTAGTATGAAATAACCTCTGTAAGTTAAATCAGTTAAATTGAATTGATTATTCAAGTTAATTTTCATTTCAGTAACTTTAACATTAAAATGGTCAAAATACTGCAATATGAAGATAATATTAAGATATGTTTACAATAAATTGATCAAATCCACTTCCCCTGACTGTCCGTTTTAGAGAAATTTGACCAGAGTCTGGATTTATAAAGAAGTAATCATCTACAGGTGCATCTCCTTTCAGACTAAACTTGAATTGGTTGTTTGGTGCCTAAATGAGAAAATGGCTGGATTACCGGTTGCTGGTTTAAATTGGTTGATATTTTCTAAGAGATATTTAAATCATGCAATACTATTGCGATCTAAGGAAAATGTAAAGTCTCTCGTTAATGCTTAAAATTCAGGTTTAGGTACAATTTAGGTACAATAACTATAGCAGAGAACCGTAGAAAAGTCTAGTAGACGGAGAACTTATGTTTGACTGAATCTGATTTCATCTGTCTCTGAATAAAAGCCACATTTACACACCCGTGAGTCACTGTCGGTGGCTGTTACTGTTATAATTTCACTGCCAACTGGGAAATTCTCTAAAATAGTCTTGCCGAATGTAGCAGGATTAAACTTCGGTGCAGCAAGGTTTCTATTCACAGTAATATCCAATGATTCAAAAGCAAATTTCTTAGGAGATCCCCCGTCTTCTGCCAGTAACCATAGCTGTTAAGATAATTGTTCTAGATTATTAATACCAAAAGTGAATAAAAATTTGCCCTTTGTCATTCTTTCAAGAATTCACAGCTACGTATTTCATCCAAAACGTTACAAGAAAAAGCAAAAGATTATTGCATGACTAACTTATAAAATTTACCCTGTATGTAGAAGCTTTGTCAGCCTGAACGGTCTGTCTCAGAGTAACAAGGCCTGTTGATTGATCTACTGGGAAGTACACAGTCGCTGTGCCATCGCCCACCAGGGAGTATCTGATGTCATTGAAGGGACTCTGGAATAAATATATACCAAAATATGAGTCAAATCTTTTGGGGATAATCTTTGTTCTGCACTATTGTAACACTATAATCTGTAAAGTCCAAAATCAATTTAAAAACATCAGCGATGTCAAGAAAGAATACATAAACAAGGAAAACAACAAAAACAAATTGAACTAACCACTGTATCTGCATCTGTGGCAGTGACTGTGAAAAGGCTCTGTCCAGCGAGTTGATTCTCATTGATGGAAATGATCGTGGGAATGTTTTGGAAGATAGGGGGATTGGCATTGCGATCCACATCCACCGTGATGGTAATTGAATTAGAGAGAGGATTCAAACCTTGATCTGTGGCAGTAACGGTAATCTGTTTGAAAGACAAGAATTTCAATTGCAATGTCCTTATCTATACTTGAGAAAATCCAATTATCCCTGCCCTGAATGCAACCCTTTCACTAAATAACGTTATACTAGTTTATTCAACAATATCCATCCTCAATAATATATGAATTATGTTATCCCATGCCCATATCCGAGAGACTACCAGAGATATTGTATTTGAAAGCAAAGAATCATAACACTTTGACTATCTCAAATTTCTTATATTATTACCTGATATATATCACTTCTACATGGGTCATACAGGAGGGACCGTCTCAAAGACAGACTTCCCGTCACAGCATCAATAAGGAAACACTCAATATCCTCTGGTCCAGCAGTCAGGGAATATCTCACAACATTATTTGGTGTCTGTACATGAAACAAAAGTTATACATAATGATGTTATCATTTTTTAAACAACAATCGAGCAACCCTAACAAAACTAAAATTTGTTGAAATGTCCCATAAATTGAACTTTCTCTTTAATTTATAAATTCTAGTTAAGCAAAACTATTTTTTGTTGAAAATTTCTAATCTCCCATACCAATGCGTCAGTGTCATTTGCAGTCACTGCAATAATCTGTTGACCTAGACTCTGTGTTTCTGGGATTCTTGCCACATACGAAAGACGGTTGAAGATTGGACGTTGATAGTTGCTTTTTACTGTCAGGGTTACGACTGTAACATTGGTCTTGCTGGGGCTTCCCTGGTCATAGGCTTCTATTCTTACCTTAAATTAAGTGATTAAAAAACTTGATTGAAATTGAAAAAATAATATACCCTAAAATTTTCAAAAAGTAATTCATTTTCTTTTTTTTAATTGATGATTCATTAAATGTTCTTTGCCCTAATTATAAGTGAAGCTTATTTATTTTATTTTCAAATTCTTAAAAATTTACCCTATGAATTTACCTTAAACTGATCTTGATTAACACCACTTAAGACGTTCCTAACAGTAATCAAACCAGACGTGGGGTCAACCTGGAAATAGGTAGGTGCCAGATCGTCTCCAGTTACTCTGTATCGAACAATACCAAACGGACCCTGATCATTGTCCCTGGCAGTGACCTGTAGAACACTGGCCCCAGTCTGAATATTACCCTCCAAGTCCTTGGAGTATGGGTCGTTGATAAAATATGGAGTGTGGTCATTTCTGGACACATACACTGTGATGGTGGCTGTTTTAACTCCAGTGGGTGTCAGAGGAGGATTTCCTCCATCTTGTAGAGATACAGTTCCCTGAAAAGTATGACAAGTGCATTTATCCATTCAAAATTATTACCACGGAATGACTGTTTCGTTGAAATGACCCGTCTTACTGTGAATGATCTCCTTGTTGAAAGTGTCAAAGGTCTTTGAACTGACAATCTACCATCCGCTGTCAGTCTGAAAAATTGCAGCATGTCGGCATCTCCCGTCAAAGTTGTAATCCTTGTGTTGTATGGCAACTGAAACAGAAGACAAACAGATCAAGGCAGAACTTAAACTGTATTCACAAAACTTCTTACAGGTGCTAATTTTGGGTTTTACAAGATAGTGTCACAATGGAAATTGATTCGCTTGAAAATAATTAAATCATAATTCTACCGCAGTATCAGCATCCCTTGTATTCATGTTGGTGATAGTGACTCCCAGATCTTGGATTTCTGTAATGTTTACTGTGTAAGATGTGTTGACCCACTCTGGGGGTTCAGATTTCTGGAAATGGTGACGCTTACTGTAGATGTGGCAGATAGACTGGAAGTGCCCCCATCTCTAGCCTCAATCAGAATCTAAAATAAAATAAGTTTACTTTTACTTTTTGCAAGAAAACATTGACCCTTTTCCTTTTATGCTTATTCAACATCACATCCTGTTTCATTTTTCCATTTTAATAATAATGATCAAAATAGTTAAATGGTGTACACTGAAAGTGTAGCAGATAGCACCTGCAAAGGAAAGAATTTTGGTTTCAACTGATTTAAACATATCTTACTGAAGAGGTTTCCACATTGTTATTGAGCAAACTCTGACGAGTTGTGATCAAACCACTGGCAGCGTTAATGCTCAACAAAGTTTGTGCTGTAGCATCACCTATGATAGAGTAAGTCACAACGTTGTGGGGACTCTGGAAAAGAATTTCAAAATCAAATTTTCTTGAAATTATACACAAAAGTATCTTAGAATACAACCAGTTCTCTCCTCAGTCCCCAAGCAGGTAAATTTTACCTGTGCATCAGCATCTTTGGCCTTGACTTGTTTGACAGTGATACCACTGACACTGTTGAAGTTAAGAGTAGCTGTGTACGGTGTCCCTTGGAAGATGGGTGGGAATAAGTTTCTGTACACGGTGATCCTTACTGTAGCTTGATCCACAGAAAACTGAGTAGGACTTCCATTGTCACGAGCCCTCACGGAAAACTAAAAGGAAAAAATTTTCAGTTAAGAGAACTGAAGAAATATTTTCATGATTGTTTAACTGTAAGGCAAACATTTCTCCATTAACACTTTAAACAATCTGCTGAATAGAAAATATTTCAAGAATGAAATTCTAAAAATAAAAAAAAATTATCGATAAAAAAAAGCATACAAAAACTAACATACAATATATATCTGCACAAGACAAGGAAATACAAGGAGATGGTCTCGGGTGCGAAGGAGAAGTAAATTTTCCATTCTTATAAGTTATAACGGCTAGGTATCCCGTATTTTGGTCAGGTAAACGTAGAGTAATTTTGTGTAAAGCCATTTGTATGAAATATTACACAGTTATGGAATGGGTACGAGGGAAATTGCAATTTTATGGTTCCCAAAGGGAGAAAACTATTCCCCGAGTGGGATCCTTAGATGAGGAAAATAGTCTCTTCTAAGGGAAATAGACAGTTTTGTGGTATTAATTTTATATATTGTATATAGAGTTATAATAGTAGAGGTATAATAAATCAAAATACGACCGATGATAGTTAACATTATATTGCAAATCATATCAATTTAACGTCCATAGAATATATAAAATGGAAAATATTAACGAGGAAGTATATATATTCCTGTCATGCCAACTTATTTTTCAGGGGTTTGCATTGATTTGAACTTTGATCTTAGTCAGAGCTGGTCCTTACTTATCGATTAACCAGGGGGGGCAGATGATAGTTTACTTTTGTTGCATAATAATTGGAAGTTTGTCAAACAGTTCTGTGGTAAGTTAGCCGCTATCTTTTATTGTCAGTAAAACATGACAAATATAGAACAATTGTGACAGACTGGAGTTTATTTTATTTCCAGTAAAACCTTAACAAAACATATTAAACACTATTCCACTGTACATAGCTTTAAAAAAATGTGTACTTTTTAAGAATACAAACTGTGTACACTGGTGTATCTTGATTGTCAGTATACAAGGGTAGAACGATGGATATAACCCCCCTGTTGTTTTCAGATCTTATACTGAAGAAGTTCAAGCCAGCCCCATTCAGGTTGGGTGTGGTGTCTGTCATCTCATAGTTGATTTCATTATTAGGTCTCTGAAATAATTGGAAATCATACATTCCAAAAACAAGACATCAATGAATTCTGATAAAAAATAGTCGTTATGAGATCTTAGAATAAAAAACATTTTCAGTTAGATTTTGTAAAAATGGCGACGTCAGGTGTGCTGTTCAAACGGGAAAACAGGAAGAAATGACACAACCAAATCTTGGACTATTTTATATAAATGGCAAAACTGGTTCTAGAATGATTTGACTGGTAATCCTATTGAAGATGACAACCGAAAGGTCTGCAACCATGTTTCATACATGGAGCTTTCTGACTCTTAGACAACTCGAAAAGTTTTTATCATGATCGAGGTTTAGATTGACTATTCACACAATTAATTTCACGATCTGTTGACGACTCTAGTAAATCCAAAATTGGAATCTTAATTTCTAATTGAAAACTGAATTGTGTCACTAAATCCTACATCAGATAATTTTTTTGCTAATTCTAAAGAAAATACACAAATCAGCAAAAATATTACCCCCAAAATTGCGATTGCCTTTAACTACGTTTTGATGTCCTCAGAGTTCCGTTGAGTTTTTTTTTGATTTAGAAAAGGAAAATGTTATTTATAGAAACATTTAACTAAAAACTTTATTTAGCAATATAAATTGGTTATGGTTTTTACCTGTTCTTAACTTTAGGTTTTCAACTTTAAATTATTATATAATAAAATAAAGATAATTAGATAATGGACAATATTCTCGCTTTTCTGGGACAGCCCTCGTTATGATATAAGAAATGGCTTAATAACCCTCTAATTGGTTAATATTGGTAAACGACAAAATATTACAATCTGATCAGCGTCAGTGGCAGTGACAGTAATGACATTCTGTCCAACTTGCTGAGTCTCGTAGATAGAGATGCTATAATCGGTCTGGGTGAACACTGGGTGATTAAGATTTCTTTGGATGTTGATGGTTGCTATGGCAGTGGCTGATCGTGGAGGAGAGCCTCCGTCCTCAGCTACAATGCGACCCTGGCGTAAAAAAAATCAGAACACTATTATAAACCATTGTATAATCTTTTTTGATACATTGTATGTACGAAATGTTGGCTATATAGTTTTTTATGCTTTACACTTGTTCTTAAGTAACAAGATTCATCTAAATAATGGGACAGTAAACCATCAATAAATATGGTTACCTGATAGGAGGCCACATCTTGTGAGGTCAGAGGTCGACGGACTGTGATGTTTCCAGTATTTGCATCAATGTTGAAGAACTGCTGGAAATCTCCATCTCCTATTAGTTTATATCTTAGTTGTCCATATGGTGATAACTAATGAGAAAAAAAAACCAAAGAAACGCACCTAAAAATAAAAATTGCCTAATCATTCAAATAGGGCAATTTCAGTTTACGATAAAAAGCTAGAATATGCAAAAAACCAAGGTACTGAAAGTAAACCAATGTCACAATCAAAGTTGATTTTGTTATATGTTTATTTGTTGTTGTTGTTTTTTTTTTTTATTAGTATTGCCCTGTGTTGACCCTTATTTGTATTTAGCGTTTATCCTGCAAGGAGCCCCATTAT